TAAGATCTAAATATTAAAACAGAAACACTAAACTTGCTGGAAGATAAGTTAGGTAGAACTCTTGAAGACACTGGCATAGGAAAAAACTTTATGAACAAATCCTCAGTAGCACAGGAACTAGCACAAAGAATCGACAATTGGGATCTCATCTTAGTAAAACCTTCTGCACTGTAAGAGAAACCACTAACAGCTAAGAGACAACCTACAATGTGGGAAAAAATTTTTATCAGCTGTTCCTCAGACAAAGGTCTACTTTCCAGAATATATAAAGAACTCAAAAAAATCAGACCCCCCAAATATAAAGACCCAATTCAAACATAGGCATCTGAAATGAACAGACATTTCTCAGACAAAGAAGCAAAAGCAGCAAATAAACATACGAAAAAATGTTCAACATCAGTGGTTATTCAAGAGATAGAGATGAAAACAATGCCGAGATTCCACCTCACCCCAGTGGGAATGGCTGCTATCAAGAATTCAACCAATAACAAATGCTGGCCAGGGTGTGGGGAGAAAGGAACCCTTCTTCATTGTTGGTGGGAGTGCAAACTGGTGCAACCACCATGGAAATCAATATGGAGATACCTCAAACAACTAGGATTAGAAGTCCCATTTGACCCAGCTATTCCTCTGCTGAGTATCTTCCCAAAAGAATTAAAAGAATCATACCACAGTGATATATGCACTCCCATGTTTATTTATAGTGACACAGTTTGTAATAGCTAAAACTTGGAAGCAAAGCAAATGCCCATCAGCTGGAGATTGCATAAAGATGTGGTTTTTCTATAAAATGGAGTACTACTCAGCCATAAAGAATGAGAAACTAGAGACATTTATAGCTAAGTGGATGTACAATGAGGCCATATTCTTAAGTGAAATTAATAGGACACACATGTCTAAATACCAAATAGTTTCTCTGGTGTGAAAAACTAAAAGTGTAAATAAGGTTAAAATGTATAACTGATATTGTGTAATAGGAAGAAAAGCTCTAAAGGAGTAGGGGAAGTAGAAGGGGTAGGGGAAAGGAAAGAAGGGAAAAGAAAAAATATGAGAAAAGGAAAAAAAATGGGAAGAAAGTCTTTGGAAATAGGGAAGGGAGGAAGGGGTGAAGGAAGGGCAGGAGAATGGGGAAAAAATAAGAACCAAGATACATCATGTAAAGGTATAAGATTCCAATGATGAATGTAACTGTATTGTATACCTAAAATGTACCAATAAACTTAGTAAAAAATAATAATAAAATAAAATGACATTCTTTTCACTGAAATCCCAGGAGAAGAAGACATAGGATCAGGCTGAAAAACCAAAGAAACTTATGCCTAAAACCTCCCCAAATTCTGCAGAGTCAAGAAGCTGAGCCTAAGTCGGACAAAAAAAAAAAAAAAAAAACAAAAACCCAAAGAAATATTACACAAACACAGCATGGTTACTTCCTAAACACTAAAGACAAAGAAAAATCTTTGAAAGCAACCAGAGAGAAGCAAAATTGTATAGATAGGGGAAAACCATTTGAATGACAGAGGCCCTAAGTACTGAAAGAGAGGAACTGCCAACCCAGCACCCTAAATCCAGTGAAATTCTAGAGAATGAAGGGGAATTAGAGGTTTTTTTTTCACATGAAGGAAAAAAAAGACAAGTTACTTCCAGTAGGCTACCCTAAAAGAATGGCTAAAGAAAATCTTGGGACCAGGAAGGAAATGAGGAAAGAAGGAATTTTGGAATATCAGGAAGGAAAAAAGAACAGGGTAATAAAGAAAAAATACCAGAAAGTACAAATTTTTTCTGCTGTTTAAAAGCAAGAAGTGTAACATCGTCTGGTGGCATTTTCAGTTATGTAGAGGAAATAATTAAGACAATTAAATAGGGGAAGGTAAAGGTATGTAAAAGGAGGTAAGGTGTGTATACTTTACTCCAACTTGTGTTATCACCAGCAGACTGAAAAGTTACACAAGTATAACGTAATACTTAGAACAACTACTACAAGAGATATAAGAAAAGATATGTTCAGTAATACTTTAGATAAATCAAAACTGAGTTTAAAAACTGTTTAACCCACAGAAAAACAGGGAAAAAAATCCAAAATGAAAAACAAAACAAAAAACAAAATGGTAGACTTCAGCACTAGCAAATCCATAATCACAGTTAACTGTTATTATTCCTGGTAGCTATAAGGTTTTTGCAAATATTGTATTCATGAACACTGAGCTGTTTGCTCTTGGCAGAAATACAGATTTAGGTTCTGTGAGCTTGGTCACATTTCTATCAACTGATCAATACATATCCTTGCTGAAAAGTATTTGCTTTAAATTTTTAAATGGAATTTCAGCCAAATAACTCCTTGATACTTCTCTAACCAGAAAATTGCTGGTGAATATTGATAGAGTTATTGACTTTTTCTGTGGCAGAAAATATTAAAAAATATAATGGGACTAGATTCTGATTAAAATAATATCTGAATGTAATATATATAAATAAAGAACATATATGGCCTTGTTTATGTAAATCTATGTTTAAAAATACAACACTTATTATATATTGTTGACTCATTAATATTGGTCTCATAGCCAATAATACTATAAGTCATGCCTGAACATAGCTTATCTAACACACGCTTTTTTCTCTAAGGCATACTATAGCCTTCTACAAACTATAATACATGAATAACTCTCCACACAGAAGCTTGGCATCTTAGACAAAATGGGCCAATCTCTCAAAAACACAAACCAACAAAACTTAACCCAATAAGCAACAGAGCATTTGAATAGCTGTGTAATTACTAAGAACTTTGATTTTATAGTTAAAAGAATTCTCAAAGAGAATTCTCCATGCCCAGCCAGTTTCAGTAGAGAATTTTACCAAATCTTTAAAGAACAAACACTGATTTTTAGATAGTCTCTTGCAGAAAAATAAAATAGGAGAGAACACTTCCCAGCTCAGGCCAGTTAACCTTGATACCAAGATCAAAGATAGTATAAAACAAACAGGGAAAAATGGCAGATAAATATAGCTGCATAAATTATTAACAAAATATTAAATAGAATTTAGCAATATATAAAAGATGTTATATTCCATGACCAAATGTAACTTGTTTCAGAGATGCAAGGCTGGTTTATTATTTGAAAATCAATGTGACTCACCATATTAATAAGCTAAAAAGGAAAATTCACATGGTCATATCAATTGATGCAGAAAATATACTGAAAAAGATTCAATGCTCATTCATGATAAAAAAAGCAGAAATAGAAGGGAATTTCTTCAATTTGATAAAAAGCCTCTACAAAATCCCATTGCTAACATCATACTTAATGGTGAAAGATGAGATGTGTTTCCCTGAGATCATGAACAAGGCTAAAGTGTTTGCTCTCATCTTTCTTATTTAACACAGTGCTGGAAATTCTAGCCAGTGTGATAAGATGAGAAAAGGAAATAAAAGGCATAGAGATCAGAAAAGAAGAAATACCACTGTCCTCATTTGCAGATGTAACAATAGTCTATATAGAAAATTCCAAGGAATCTACAAAATAGAGATGCCTAGAACTAGTGAGTTAACTAAGGCCACACATTATAAGAGCAACATACAAAAATCAAGTGTATTTTTACACCTTGACAATGAACACATGTATACTGAAATTAAAAATACCATTTGTAAGAATTAAAAATGAAAAAATACTGCCTGCCCTGCAAGCTCAAGGACCCGAGTTTGATCCCCAGTACCAAAAAAAAAAGAAGAAAAAAGGAAAAAATATCTATGTGTAAATCTAACAAAAACATTTACGAGACATATAAGCTGAAACTGCAAAATACTGATGAAAGAAAAAAATATAGATACAAATAAGTTCACAGAAGATTCAGTCTATTCAATCTATATCATATGAAGCTATACACACATAAGCACCAAAAAACAGAGCCGCAAAAATCTATGAAGCAAATACTGACATAACTGAAGGGAGAAATACAGAGTTCTATAATATTTACAGACGTAAGGGGCCAGGGATGTAGCTCAGTGGTGCCATGCCTGCCTGGCAAGCGCAAGGTGTGATTCCCAGTACCAGAAAAAAAAAAGAGATGTCAATATCCCATTTCAATAATGGATATAACAACCACAGAGATCATCCAGCAAACACAGGGCTTGAACACTAAAAAACCAATTAGATCTAACCAATACACACAGAACGCAACTGAACAACTGCAGAAAACACAGCCTTCTCAAGTGAATATGGAACATTTCTAAGCAGATCATGTTAGACAACAAATTCTACTAAAAGATTCAGGCCAGGCATGAATCTGGGATGCCTGTAATCCCAGTACTTAGGGTTAGGTTTAAGTAAAGTAGAGTTAGGGTTAGGGGGCTGAGGATGTAGCTCAGTGCTCACTGGTTCCCTGGGTTCATTCACCAGTACCTCCTGCCCCTCAGAAATATGAGAGGTAAACAAAATAGAAAAATAGAGAAAAATCAATGAAGTCAAAAGTTGGTTCTTTGGAAATAACAAAATTGACAAACCTTTAATTGTAATAATAATAAGCCAATCTTTATAACTATTACAGTTAATCATCATTGCTGTCTACACTTATCAATGTCAGTGAGTCCCTCCAAGAAAGCATCTCTACCAGCTTTGTCCAATCCATCACTTTCCTCTCTCCATTCCTATTGTCTCATGCCCTGCAATTCCTTATCCCTTCCACCACATACAGGAGTACCACAGTTCTCACCTCCTTCCTCTAGACTATTTGAGCAATCTCCAAGATGACCTGCTCTGCATCTTCTGTCAGGATTCACAGAAAATGCTCAAATTCTTTCGTCCTTATGAATCATGTCTCACCTGCTCAACACACACAGATGCCCAAGTGGTCTCTTTGTTCACCCACGTATGTCTTGGTTTCAGCCAAGACTCCTCCCTTACCACTCCATAGGAGCCATGCCCCTCTGCACCTCTGGAAGACTTTTTAACAACTCAGGCCCTTTTGGGGCCTGATTATTCTTCTCTAATCTCCCAACATACTTGGACTTGCCCACTGCGCTGTCCCCCAGGCAGATGATCTTCACATTGTCGTCAGCATCATACTTTTCTTGGTCCAGCTCACAGGGTTTGGTTCTGTCTCCTGCCATTGGCTCCTAGCTGTAAGAGAAGCCCAGCCAGGGGTCTTGTCACTGTCTGGGAAAGTCAAAAAGAGGCTGCTGTTAGAGATAAGAAGTCCCCTCAACCAACTCTCTTTCTCCTCCTGGACAGCAGCTTATGAGAGAGGAGCCCTAGGATACATCCTTCTGCGTTTACCACCAATTTGGCTACCACATGCTGAGTTTTGAGGTTGTAACCTGGTCCTCAAGATTCTCCTATGTCATCTCTATATCACACCTTCCACCTGCCATACTGAAGCTTTACAAGTTCAACATACAAGTTTTCTCATTTGTAAAACACTGACAAAAACAATGTCCACGTCACAAACACAGCCCAAGAGAGCTGGGCATGGTGGTGCACACCTGTAATCCCAGCACTTGTGGCTGAGGCCACAAGTTTGAGGCCAGCCTGGCCTACATAGTGAGTTCAAGGCCAGCCTGAACTACATAGCGAGACCCTGTCTCAAACAAAACAAAACAAAACAAAACACCAGTCTGAGCTCTCATCAGTAAATGACAGACCACGCAGCCAAAGACATCTAACACACATTTATTACCAGCTGCTCGTATCCCTTTCACTTCCCCATCATCTTCTGTCCTGCTATTACAAGGTGCATCTCCCTCCCTCAACATGGATAGTCCGTAAACCCTTTGATATTTTTAACTTGTAGTAGTTTCAAGTATATCCTAAATGCTGACAATGTCACACTGCAATTACAGAGATTTGCTTCCCCCAGTAAGACTCAGACATGCAATTGCCCCCTAGGAGTCTAAGGCACACAGGCATAAGTTATATGTTAAACATGAACAGAATACTTTAGTCCTGCCAAACCAAATGCTGCTCCTCACATTCCCAGCTGTACAACACATTACCACTATCCAGTGCCAACACTTATGTATAACGGCATCTCTAGCCTTTTCCACTCCCCGTAACCCAAATAAGACTCTGCAAACAGTCCCAAGAATGAATTACAGTTCAGATTCTAAAGTAGCTGGGCACTAGAATTATACCATGATGACGACCTAGCAGCAGTAATGCACACTTACTTAGCATTCACGATGGGGAGACATTGCACCAGGTTCAGAGCATGAGACACAATGGTGATAGTCTACTGCAGTAAGGACTAAGAGAGCTGTACACATAGGTGAGGGGCAGAAAACACCAACAGGGACCCGAGGTACCCTGCATTGCACAGCTACTGCGTCTGCACAGGCAGGAACCGAGTCTTGCTTACTGTAGTACCTTCAGCCTCTGATGCAGTGCCTGGGAAGTGGCAAGTGAGTGAAGAGCACGGTGAGGGTCCTATCCCTTCCAGCCTGCAAATATACGACCTATTCAAAAGCCAAATCTAGCCTATCGCTCCAAGCTGGAAAAGCTTCAATGGCTGTCGCTGTTGTTACCATCCAAGGTGCAAACTCTTTGGTTCGACAAAAAATTTCTAGGGACCCATCAGGCCCAGTCGCGCTCCACACAGTGCGGGAACCCACCCCGGAACTTCCCTGGCTCCTGCCCTCCCTCCCCCAGGGTCCACTGACAACCTTGGAGGGGGCGGATCCCACAGGCCGAGTAGCCTTGCTGATGCTCCGACCTCTCCTAAGATCAGCGCCAGGGCTGAAAAGACCAGGGATGCCACACAAAAGTCAGACCCCACACATCTCCCTCCACTCGCCACTCCGCTCCAGGCCTGCAGCGTCCCCGCAGCTGCTTCGCAACCACGGCAGGACCCTGGGAGGGCTGTCCTGCTGAAAGCCCGAAGGACCCCGCCAGGGAGCGGGCTGGCTAGCGCGGTGCCTGGCAGACGCACGTGCATGCGCTGGAGTTGCCAGGTTCCGGGGAGTCCACCTGGGGTCTGGGTGTGGGTGTGGGTCGGGTCCTGACCCGGTTAGGCCCACGTGGCCTCATTGTGGTGGTGGGGGCAGTAATTCCTTTTGGGAGACGTATAAAGGTCCTAGTGTTGTAGATAGCTAAGTTAATTAGATGCCTTGTGGGCAGTTAGGGCCGGCCCTGGAGGAGTCAATAGGAAAGACAATCCAGACACCTTCACTAAAGGTCAGCATTATAAAAAAATGTACTGCACTTACATACTTCCCCTAGAGATGAATAGCAGTGATTGATATTCTAAATAGGCATCAATCTCCTTAAATGGAGACTAAAATTTTCCTAGCCCATTTCCTTTCTGGAAATTCCTTGTTCCATCCACCTATGGACTAGCTTCCCCATTTGATCCCCATTTAATCAATATTACCTCAGTGACTGTATTTGTTGTAATCTTGTTTGATCATAGTTTTGTCCACCTCATGATTTCCCATTGGATCAATATTACCTAAGCAACAATACTTGTAATCATATTAGTTGACTGTATTTTTTTGTTTTTGTTTTGTTTTGTTTTAACATTTAATGGCACAAGATAGACATTTTTTATTCCAAAAGTTACAAATGAGGATAGCAAGGAACAGGAACAAAGTAAGATCAAAATTTTGCAGGGCAAACATTAAATCCTATAATTTTACTTTTAGCATCTCTGGCAGTCTGTGGAAAGTTGTGCTCTAAAGAGCTTGGGTGGTTCTGCCCTTATGGCACTTCTTGTGGTTGTAGCTCTTAGGGCTCTTCTCTGGGGCTGGCTCTGCTCTCTCTTTGCAGTTTTCCCCAGATGATCTATGTTTTTGTCTTTTCTAAACTTTTGGGGTCTTTACTGGACCTTCGGCTTTATACTCACAGCTTTACACACTGTCCTCTCGGGCACACTGCCTGGCCTCTCAGGCCTTCCTTTGAAATCTGGGTGGAAGCCTTTCTGCCCCAGAACTCTTATATTCTGCATGCACCTAAAACCACCACCATGTGGATGATGGCAAGGTCTGCTGCCAGCTGGAGCAGTAGCCAGGCATTTTTCTGTTTTGGCTGTAGAGGTCTAGTGAGTTTGTTACGGGAAATATGAAATGTTGCATCTCCCAACCTGTTAACTGTGTGATTTGCCGAGTTCTTGTTCTCTAGAAATCGAAGAATGAGTCCTAGGAACGACGGAGGTTAAAAAGTAGGAGGATATTTATGGGTAGGAAAGCTCCTGAGGGGCATGAGGGGTCCCGAGTGGGTAGCCAAGGATCCCACTTTACAGACAAGTTTTATAGGGTGAAACCCACATGGGCCACAGCCATGAACATTCAATAAGGTTACAAGTATAGTCACTTAGGTAATGGTGGTCCAGTTGGGAAGCAAGTCACATAAGTGTGGATGGAAAGAACAAGGATTCTCCTAGGAGGCAGTGGGTTCAGAGGTCTCTGGTCACCCCCAGGGTGATCGATGCCTATCTATACTTCACTAAGCCCAGTTCTTTGAAGAAGTCTGTGGGTCTGGTCATCCTATCTCCATCTTGAGGCCTGGTTTTCAGCCAATGTGTGTGGTGTGTTTCACCTTTGTCCTGGCCCTCTCGAGGACTTAGCCCCATCTGACTGCCTGTAGTATTTTTACCTAGCTTATGTATCTATAATAAGTTGATTGTAGTTTTGTCCCACCTTGTACCCACCTCACCTCATGGCTTTGCTCAATAAAACACCTTTGAAAAGTGGGGTGGGTGGGCAACCCACTCTCTGGTTCCCATTCTGTCTCTCTTAGAAGCTATCTTTCTCTCAACAAAGTTTTTCTACTCTTAACCTCCATTGTTCACAGAATTCATTCTTTGATTTTAGAGAACACAAACTTGATGTGTTGAATATCTAGCAGGTTGGAAGGTATAATATTTCTCTTACATTATTTGGATTATTTCCCTTATTTGGAGTACTTGGTGCCCTATGTCACTAGCATTAGCAGAAATGGAAATTAAAACTAAAACAAATTAATAGGAAAAGGCTTAAATTGAAAGTTAGGAAAGAACTCCAGCTTCGGTGGCTAGATGGGCAGCACTCTGATACAGGGGTTCAGATTGGCCCACCTTCAAAAGTGGGAGGCCAGTTTTCAAGAAGTAGTTGATGGGCTGGAGCTCTGGTTCATTATTACCTCAGTCCTGATGTCATAGTTCTAGAATCTATGGCTGAGAGGTGGTTTTGCTCCCAGGAAAGGACTGTGTCTATGGTGGTCTTGGTCACACTTTGCCTTCCCTGGAATCCAGGTGATCGTAAGTTTGGGAAAATGGCTGGAGACTTTTAGATGTCCTCAGTGATAGATTTCCCTCCAATTTAGGGTGGCTGCTGTATATAATACCTACCTTCTTCCCAACATGCCCCTACTCCCACCAAAAGAGTAACCTAATATTTGCTCTCCTCCTAGCAACTAGTGACGTCACAGGCTCCTCCAGCCCCTAGCCACTACCTCACTCAACCCCACCCCAGCTCCTACAAGCTCCACCCCCGCTCCTATAAAAGGCACTTGCTGTCCTGGCCATATTGCTTTTGTCTCTCCTTTGTTCAGAGACAGCCTGGCAGATCTGTTCTCCTAATAAAGGCTTGTTGTGACCTGGTCTGGTCTTGGTTTTCAGTCCTTTTACCTGACAGTCTTGAAGGGAGATGAGAGCCTGTAAATTCAGTGCTAATCAACCCTGTCTGACCAGCTCCTAGATAGACACTTCCTAAATGGTCAATATACCCCTATGGAGAGGTGGGAAAAGATTTGACCCAAGGTTTACAGTAATGAAGGATGCAGAATTAAAGTCAAACCTTGTTCTGCTTTTTGTTAACTATTGTGCATCTGTAGGCCGAACTGAATAGTCATGAGTCATAACAAAAAAATGGCTTTTAAGTTCTAGAAGGAAACACAAATTATCATTTAATGAGAAGCAGGTGCTGGCCTGTTCCTCATCCTTATGGTGGTCTCTGACTATATCATGTGTCAGTATGTGATAGATTTCCCTCCAATTTAGGGTGGCTGCTGTATATAATACCTACCTTCTTCCCAACATGCCCCTACTCCCAGCAAAAGAGTAACCTAATACTTGCTCTCCTCCTAGCAACTAGTGATGTCACAGGCTCCTCCAGTCCCTAGCCACTACCTCACTTAACCCCACTCCAGCGCCTACAAAAGGCACTTCCTGCCCCAGCCATATTGCC